GGGGGCGGCGGCCAGGCCGGCCCGTGCCGCAGGCCCTAAATTTTATGGAAACTACCATACCAGGAGGAACTCCCTCAACCCACCCTAAATCCAACACCCTAAATCCAGAAACACCAAACCCTAAATCCTAAACCCTAAAGCTAAACCCTGAACCCAAACCTTTAACCCTAAACCCTAAACCTAAACCCTAAACCCAAGGACGAGTCAACCACCTGATCGATCTTTGCCAGCTTCAGGCCGTCTTCCACTGACGTCAAGCGATCTCCTGGCAGGACTACCTAGGGTTTAGGATTTAGGGTTTAGGATTTAGGGTTTAGGATTTAGGGTTTAGGATTTAGGGTTTAGGGTCTAGGATTTAGGGTTTAGGAATTAGGGTGTAGGTTGGGCTTATGAAGGAACAGAAAAGAAAATGGAAACTACCGTAATATCTGGGGTTTGGGGTTGGGAGGGAAGGAATGGGATGTGAGAATTGCTAAAGTCTGCTAGGGGATTTTATGGCGACGAAGTACTCTCCAACAGTAAGTCCGGGTTTAGGGTTTAGGGCAGTCTACCTATCTCTCAAACAGGAAGCAGGCACCAACCCATAAGCATCACTATGTTCACTTCTTTTCGTTTGTGTTGTCTCTGCGTTTCCTCAAGTTTGCATGTGAGCGACCTATTTGGCTTCATCCGGGCCATACCCATCGTGGATCCTTATTGCCCCCCTAGGTTCTCTCTTACTTAAGGCTATTTAAAAAGAAAGTCCGAGCCATTAAGGCGGGTTCAATGTAACCGAAGCCGATGTTGCGGCCTGGCAACATCAGAGAGCTTCTCGAATCATGGGTCCAGTCTTCGAGCTCATTAGTTATGGGAGGCTCAAGTAAGAGTCAACTCGCCACTCCCACACCCACATGACTCTTTCAAAGAGAATCTAGTACAAGATGACATCCCAATTTCATCTAGATTGCTGCCAGCACACACACCAAGTCACAGAAAAGGTTGAGACGTAGGACTTCTCTCTGAAATGCCTCTTGCACGATGAGTGCAAGAGGCTTGCTGGATATCTTTGACTATCCCTAGGCCCTAAACCCCTGAAGCCTTAACCAAAAAATGAGGCCCCCTATCATTTTAGGGTTTCGGGTTTAGGGTTTGAGGGTTCAGGGCTTAAGGTTTGGGGTCTGGGGATAGTCACCCGTGGATCCACACCAATAAGAATAGTGATGCCTCAAGGTCGCGGATCAAAACAGAAGAAAACTTTTCCCTACCTGCTCCATTTCGTCCTTACAAGCCCTCAGTTCGTCCACTTTGAGAAGGCTTTCATACCTGAGAGACCTCACATCTCCGAAGTTATCCCCTACTTGGAGATCCATTGCGGGAAGCAGCTGCCTACAGAAAACCCATGACTTGGTCGACGTACAGATTGGCACCAATGACAAGTACAACTAATTACTAACTGCAGAAGGCTTTAGGGCTTGGGGGGGGTTGAGATTTAAGGTTTTTGAACAATGCCCAGAGGCCTAAACCCTAAACCCTAAACCCTAAACCTTCAACCCTAAAATCCTGAACCCCAAAACCCTAAACCCTAAAATCCTGAACCCCAAAACCCAAAACCCTAAAACCCTAAACCCTAAAACCCTAAACCCTAAAACCCTAAAACCCTAAAACCCTACAACCCCCTAGAACCCTGACACCCTGAGCCCCAAAAGCCACGGGTCGCCTAGGGCTCGAAGTGACTGGCTCAGGCGCTCGTCCTCGTTGGCGCTGACTGCCTCGCGTTCTGAGGGGTAGGTTTAGGGTTTAGGGTTCAGGGCTTAGGACTTAGGGTTTAGTAGGGCTTAGGGTTTAGGGCTTAGGGCTTAGGGTTTAGGGCTTAGGGTTTAGGATTTAGGGCATAGGGTTTAGGGCTTAGGATTTAGGGCTTAGGGTTTAGGGCTTATAGGGCTTAGTGTTTAGGATTTACGGTTTAGGGCTTAGGGTTTAGGGCTTAAGGTTTAGGCTTTCGGGCTTAGGGTTTAGGGTTCAGGGCTTAGGATTTAGGGCTTAGGGTCTTGGGCGAGGCTCAGATCTTCTCTCCAGAATGTGGCTTTGAATAAGGGTTTCCCAAAATTGGGGATACCTTTTTGGGGTGCCATAAGAATGCAATATTTGGCGGTTTATACTGGGGCCCCCTGATTCTGGGAAATTACCGAATAACCCCAACTCGTAAACCCAAAGCCCTAAACCTTATAAACCCTATGCCCTTATTCTGGGAAATTACCGAATAACCTCAAATCTTATAAACCCCTAAACCCAAAACCCTCAACCCTAAAGCCTAAACCCCAAAACCCTAAACCTTAGAAACACTAAACCCTAAACCTTATAAACCCCTAACCACTAAACCCTAAAACCCTAAATCCCTTGTACACCCCTATGGAGGAGTTGATGCTGGGGCCATCCGAGGCTCCACATGTTGTGCACACGTCTTGGCACCGCAGATTTTCGGGTTTAGGGTTTAAGGGTTTGGGGTTCAGGGTTTATAGGGTTTAGGGTTTAGGGGCTTAGGGTTTAGGTTTAGGTTTTAAGGGTCTGGGATGTGCGAACTTGTCTTGTCATGTTTTACTGAGACATGACATGACCTGCATGGTGCCATAACATGTGAACCACCAAATGTGAACGATGGGTTTATGTTGCATTGGACGTATGGAGCCCCAAGTTCCAGAAAGACAAGCCAAGTCCCTTCAATCCTTGCATACCCTAAACCCTAAGCCCTACCTTCTACATAACCCAGAAAAACATATCCCAAGAAATGCCTGCGAAATCCCTAGACCTTCCTTCCCCAGGGAAATTCTTCCAGGCCCTCTTAGGCCAATTCCCTACACCCACAACTCTACGCACACCAAACCCCGAACCCTAAACCCTGAACCCTAAATCCTAAACCCAGAACCCTGAGCCCTAAACCCTGAACCCTAAACCTCAACCGCGTGACAGAACTTCGGCCTCGAGGGCAGAGGTTCGCTGACTTAAAGCTTCCAGGCCTGAATGCATCTCAAACGGCAAGGGGATTTTAGCTGCGGCTTGGGGTTTAGGGCTTGGGGTTTAGGGCTTAGGGTTTAGGGCTTAGGGTTTCTGGTTTAGTTACCCCAACCCTTAAATTTGGGACTCTTGCTTTAGTCATATGAGACTTATAGGGTGTTGGGGTAACTAAACAACCACCTTGGTGTTGAATTCGGAGGGCTTTTGGGCGTTTCAGGGGCTAGACAGGGCATGGATAGGGATTACTGCAACTTGTTTGATCGTTACAGGGGTATTTGCCTTTAATGTTTCACCTACTTGGTTCCTTTTCTGAAGCCCTTAACCCGAAACCCTGCGATCAATGACTTTTCCACACTCTGCGCTTTTGTGGCCTAAGGCCCCACCAAGAGTGACCAAGCCAGGAAGGTGTTGAAGGTCTGTCGCACGTACGCGAGACTCAAGGTTGTGGAGTTAGCGTTTAGGATTTAGAGTTTGGGTGGAACCAATCAGATTGGATTGACTAGCCCAAACCTGGGATCGGAGCACTAGTTGCTGTGCACGACCTCACTCCACCGCACTGAAAACACGATGAACAACACCGCAGCCAGAACACAGAGGAGTCTGTTGAGCTATGCGCAGAAGCGCTGCTCAGAAAATTAAAGCGAATTCTTAAAAGCACATGCTGGAAAAGATCTCACACATCAGCCCTGTATGCGCTTGCTCTCCTTGATGCCAAGATGAGTTCTGACCAAGCAGTTAACCTGCGAAGGGCGGTGATGACTCTCAATCGCTGCCGCTCATTGCAAGGTCCAAGCATCAAAGAACACCCAATTATGTATCTACACATATGTATGCATACATATGTAGTTATATGTCTATGCTTATATGTGTATATATATATCTATGTATATGTATAAACACAAAGTTCTAAACCAAGTGCAGTTTCACTACGCATAACTTTGGGCCTAGCGTATACGGTATGAGTACTCAGCGCATACTAGCCAGCTTGCACTAGATCGTGCCTGCTCCGCATCCATTCCCTTGCCTGGGCTACTATTAGGCTTTAGGGTTTAGGGCTAAGCTACCACAACGAAATGGAAACTGGGGTCATAGAAGGATTTAAGAAACTGAGACTTACCTAATTACCATAAGAGGTATATGTAGCAAACAACGGGGTTCCTTATTGTGGGCCATTCATTGCAGTTCCTTGTTCGCAACCCAGCTGCTCAGCCATTCAAACTGGGAGCAGTAGTCGGTGTTCTCCAGCGAGTTTCCGGTATCCACAGTACCATCCTCATTTAGAGTCCATTGAAACCTTGGTTCTCTCCGCTTCCTCTACAAAGAAATGCCATACGAACGGGCACCTTAGGCAAATTATTTACTGAGAATATTATAGTATATTATAGTAGATTGGGCGCTTCCATTTTCATTTCCACTATCCCTATATAGCCCTATATATTACCCCAACAATAAAACTACCAAGTGTGGTCAGTGCACTCGCGCTTGGCATTCAAGAGCTCCGCGATCTTTGCTCGGACAGGGCGTGGAGTGGAATGCTTTAGGATCACGCTCACAACGCCTTGGGAGAAAGAGCTTTCGAGCTTCATGTGAGCTATAGTCGAAGCTTCTTAAAGGGGTTATATAAGGGATTATACAGGGGACTACTGTAGGGGTTACTAAGGGGGATACTAGGAGTTTAGACTATGGCTCATGTGCAGGCTTCCAAGAACTCAGGTTCCCTGGTGGCAGTCTGCGCAAAGGATTCTGACGCTTTGGGCGGTTTACAAGGCTTTTTTCGGAACTGCCCTGAATCCCCAACACCCCAAACCCCTAAAGACTATATATCCCTAAGATATCCCAACAGATCCCTGTATGGCCCTCTATCCCTGGTGGCTCACAGGGCCTTGGTTGAGAGCCTCCTTCAGCTTGTTGTCAGATCCCACGCTGTAGTGCGTGTCATCATTGATGGCCTTTCAAACACTTCGAGTCTTCCGCGCTAAAGCCTATATGCCCACCTAAGCCGTAAACCCCTATACTATCCCAATAAAGCCGTTCGAAGAAAGCCCTAAACCCTAAACGTGACTTGCTCATGACCAGCTTTCGGCTAACTTCCAGATTGTAGCATCACACGCAGCTCATGCTGTGGCATCAATCAACTTTGCAAAACATAATGGTTTAGGGTTTAAGGTTACAGTCCCCCTTGAGTAGATAGAATATGGCTTTGGCATGTTCTATCTACTTAAGGCTGACTAGAAGGGTTTAGGATGGAGCAACGAGCCATGCACCCTTGCTACTCATCAGCAAGGAACCATGCTAAACCCTAACCCTGAACCCTAAACCTTAAACCCTTAACCAACACCCGGAACCAATCTTCGGGTCCCAGGTTGAGATACAGTTGGGCACGCACACACAAGAGCAATTGAGAACATGTGCAAAACCCTAAGCCCCTAAACCCTAAGCCCTAAACCCTAAACATTGTTTTTGCTAGCGTTGCTACAAATCCCGGCCTTCCATTCTGTCTGGAAAAGGTTCAGCGCCTGCACAAACAAGTGGCAAGCTCAAAGAACTCTGAAAACTGCATGCAGTTCTAAACAATTGAGGGAAAATATCTTTCCCCCAATTGGCTAGTGCAACCACTACAAAGCTATGCACGGGTCTCAGCATGCTGGCAGCCTGAAAAAAGTGACCGTTTCCCAAGGATGTGAAAATCTCCTCATCATCTCGTGCTCGGACAGGTGGGAAGCCCTGACGTGTTGTGTTCAAGCGTTTCAGCACTCAAGCGCTCCGCCTTCAGCCTCCTCATCTGCGACTCGTGCCCGCCAGACTCGAAGTGCCTCCGCCTGCATTTGAGGGACCGAAGATGACGGATTGCTCTCCCGACCAGAAATAGACTTACGCCCGCCTTCGAATCGGATCCGGCGGGCTCGCGCACCAGCACAGGGATATCATGGCCTGCTATGTGTGCACGTATGCATGTGCATGTATGTATGTACATAGGTAGGTCGGTAGCTGTGGCTGGCAGTCTGGGCAATCTGACAGCGCTTAGGTCGCGACCGTGCCGGCCAGATCTCTTTTGGAAACCTTTTTGCCTCCAGCAACACACATGGCAGCCCTTTCGGGAATTCTAGGAAGGGAGACACAACCCCAAACCCCAGACCCTAAACCCTAAACAGTTGCCTAATGGATGTTGCCACGTAGTGCAGCAGCTCGACGCCCAAGCCGGTCTGTGCTCCTTGAGGTTGATGGGCCGCAGTAGGGTTAGGGTTTAGAGCTCAGGGCAGCTGTTGCAACATCATGCAGCATGGGGCTTGGCGAAGTCATGCTACATATTATATATATTTATATAAAGTATCAGTATTAAAAGTATAAATACAATTTACTGCCCTTGACCTGTAACAACGTAGTACTAGTAAAGCCCTAAACCCCCAACCCTAAAACTCCTAAACCTCTACACCCTAAAACGGCCTAAAACCCCGTAGCCTTAACCCCTAAATCCTAACCCCCGAGACCCTAAACCCTAAGCCAAGCCAAGCTGCGATTTGTAAAGTCTGGGATGACAAGCCGGGGACAAATTTGACAGGTGGCTGGCCTGGCCATGAGAGTAGTGTTTTTTTTTTGGTGGTTGAACCTATAGGGATAATGGAAAAGAAAATGGAAACTACTATATTATTATAGGGTATATATTGGGGTTATATTGGGGTTATATTGAGTAGTGCTGTTTTTTGTTGTTGAACCTAGTAAGATTATATTCCTTATATAACATACTATACCCCAAAAGGAGGATAGAATCTTACTCTAGTGGGTACCATAGTATCCCCAAAGAAAATACTACTCATGAGATATAAGGCCACACAAATACCAACTCGGGGCTTAGAGTTTAGGGTTTCGGGTTTAGCGTGGGGGATACAGGAATAGATTATGTAGGGTTCAGGGCGCAGGGTTTAGGGTTTAGGGGTTTAGGCTACCAAGCTAGCATTTCAATATTTCACTGTATTGCTGTGGTACTATGTTGCAATATCATCATAGAACATAACTACTGTATTACCATGCTACACCATGATACTGTACTTCTGTCTTATGACATTCTTATTTTGTTGCAGTGCTGGGTTGGGTTGTACCACGTTTGCTGCACCCTAAACCCTACCCTCAAAACCATGCCGGCTCAACTCCCGCCATTGGCTGACCAGTGCGCATAGCAAAGACACCTGGCAAATAGAGGGTGTGGCATAGGATTTACGGTTCAAGGGTTTAGGGTTGGCTTTAGAAGGGCTCTGTAAGGTTGTTGGATAAAACCGCAATAATGGAGAATTACATGGAAAAGCAAATGGAACATGAAATGGAAAATGACGCTATATGATGGTTATAAAGGGAAGATAGTTACCATCATGTATTTGATAGTCATAAGGTCCTCGAAATCCTGTGTACGAAAAACACACATGGGGAAGATTACGCAATGATGCGCTGAGATGCCGCCACAAATGTTTCGGGCCGTAGCAGATAAACATGATTTAAATCAAACGCGTCTCTGGGTGATCGTCCTGATCATGCTTGCAATCGATGTCATCTTTCCCGTGAGCTATAGTCTAAACTCCTAGAATCTCCCTTATTAATTCCCATTATACGCCCTTATATGATTCCCCATATAACCCCCTGTAAGGAGTTTACACTGTAGCTCCTGTGTTCACGACTACGTTCGAGGCAAACTTCGTTTGTGCTGTTGGAAGCGTTAGCAACGCAAACCAGCCGATGCAAGATTAGCTGGTTAGCGGATTTCCATCAACGCGAGGCCCCAGAAGGACCCCAACATACTATTGTCATCATTTTTGGGACGTCCAAGAAGGGGCCCTCATTTTTGCAAACCCTAAACCCACTTTGACTGGCTTGACGCTAAGGAAATTGTCAGTAATATACTCTAATAAGGGAACCCTAGTATTTACTATATACCAATGAGAACTCCTGCTTAGTAGCAGTCCAGCAAACCCACTTTGAAGGAGGGGCCTCTTCAGCATCCTTCTTCTTGCTGTAGCCCGCTGGCATTTCTGCTCCACTCGTCCCTGGCATGCAGCCTTCAATCCCGCGGCCCAGGGGATCCGCCTCAGCTGCATACATGCATACAGAAGCAGCCAGGCCTTTTTGGGGTTTAGGGTTCAGGGTTTAGGGGTCCCAGGGTCTAGGTTTAGGATTTAGGATAGGTCTAGGGTTCGGAGTAGCTTTGGTTGTTGCGATGGAGTGGCAGGGCAGTGTTAACCCCAATGTACCACGGGGGCCGAGCCTGATGATTCAGCTCATGCTATATGATCCCTGGACAACATGCGCTCGTCCTACCTGGAGCCTTACCATGCTTGGACAGCCTGAAAAGCAAAACTGCATCAGCAAATCATCTCGAAAGAATACATCTCTTCTAATGCATGTAGCTCTGCCCCATCGCCATGACCATCAAAAAAAGGGCCTTCATAAAAGGGCATGATAGTATTGCGATTTCAACATTTTGGGGCCCCTATAGATTCGGTCAGTATCCAAACCATTCCTTGAAGGACTTAATCCCCCTAATCGTCCCATGGCAATGGTATTGTAGCTCTTGATACATAAGTTACCTAGCCCATTCTCTAAACCCTGAACCCGAAACCCTAAATCCTGAAACCCGAAATCTCTAAATCCCTAAACCCTACATCCCTAAACCCTAAATCTCTAAATCCCTAAACCCGAAATCCCTAAACCCTCACCCCGGGGTCCCACAAAGGTAGCTTTCAAATCTGAGTGGCTGCACTCCCAGCATAGCCCAGGAGTTTCATCTTCTCCGACCTTTGGGCACCAAAATGGCTTTCAGGTTCTGGGTTTAGGGTTGAAGATTTAAGGTTTTAGGGTTTAAGATTTAAGGATTTAAGGTTGAAGGGTTAGGGCTTGAGAAAAAAGACCCTCAACCCCAAACCGTCAACCCTAAACCCGAACATGCGGAAACTGAATCCTATAAACTTCACACTCCAAACCCTAAACTCTAAACCCTGTAATCCCTAAACCTTAAATCCTAAACCCTAACATGCGGAAACTGAGGTCCGTACACCTCTGCCGATGTACTTGCCATGCGGGTCCAGAGCTCTGAGCGAGCCGACCTGTGTCCACTAGCTCGCAATGCAGAAGCCATGTGGGGGTTTTCGGGTTTAGGATGTCAGGGTTTAGGATTTCAGGGTTTAGGGTTTAGGATTTAGGGTGTAGGGTTCGGGATTTGGGGTTTGGGTTTAAGGTTTAGGGCTTCGGAAGTTCGGTACCCTAATGGGCTGCAACAGCTCTGAGTAAGTCTCAACGGCTCCAAACCAGTCTGAACAGAAATCATCCAAATCCCAGCTTCCGATACAGCATCAAAACCAATCTAGAAAGTCGATCCACCTTAAACGTTCCCTGGAAATTTTCGAGAAAAAGTATAGGATGCCGCATTCGGAGGCTTGGGAAGTAGAAGCCTAAACCCTTCTGTGCAAGCCCAGCTGCTCCATATTCTCTCGGGTGGAGGACGCCCTAAACTCGATCGCACCGTTTCGATCCCATCCCTGCAATCCGGGCACTTGGGGAGTGGGAGCCAGGCAGCTATATTGCCATACGCTCGCGCCATCTAGAGTAGTACTTTTGAGGAGCTATAGGATATTTCATGATCAATGGCTCTACTTGTACTTCTGAGGAAGTATAGGGTATTTCATGATTAATTAATGGCTCTAATCCAGATTTTTCCCTTGCGGATCCGGAGAAGACGGACAACGCTTTGCAACCCCTAAACCCTCAACCCTAACCCTAAACCGTGTTCCTGTAGCTGCCACAGCTTGCCAATGCTAACCACAGCGCCGTCATCATCCAGCTCAACTTTGTGAGCCTGCCACTCATCGTCCACAAAACCGCACATACCAACGTTGATTTAGGGTTGTGGGTTTAGAGTTTGGGGTTTCACATACCAACATTGGTTTAGGGATGTAGGTTAGGGTTTGCAGTTTAGGATTTAAGGTTTAGGGCTTAGGGTTAGGAGTCCCTGCAACGAAGATTATGACATTTGGAGGTGTAAAAGAGGGACTCCTGTTGCGCAACACCCAGAATCAGGTGCCTTGAGGGGCAAGCCATTGATGCTGACTTCAGTCCCCCTGACTGAGATCTTGGCACCTGCCAAATGAGCGGCTTAGGCTTTAGGCTTTACCGTTTACCCTAAACCCTACAGCCAAACCCGTCGATGAACCAGAACTTCCATCACAGGCCCACAAAGAATTTGTGAAAGAAATAGGGCATCATATACAAATAGAAGAGGCCCCCAGCGCAGAAACCCAAAGAACAAAAACACGACCACAATTGCGGTCTACCCCTAGAATCGTCCTAAACCTTAAACCCCAAACCCTAAACCCCAAACCCTAAACCCTAAACCCTAAACCCTAAACCCTAAACCTTAAACCCTAAACTCTGCACCCTCAAGCCCAAGGCACCGCCAGAGCCGAGCCACGAACCTTGTAGAGTTGCCAGAGTTATGGGACCTGCCCAGGTTTAGGGTTTAGGGCCCCCTGCTAGGTTTACGGTGTAGGGTTTAGGGTTTGGGGTTTAGGGTTAGGGTTTAGGCTTAGGGTTTAGTGTTTAGAGCTTTTTTTTAAAGGTTCAGGGTTTAGGGCGACAGCTTCCGCGCAAAGATCCGAGCCGAAATATAAACATACCTAGGGACCCTAAGGGTGCCCCTATTTTGAAAATCGGTAGGTCCTTAAACACAGAAGGGTCTAAAGCTGCGGCTTGCATCTTTGCCTTCTTCAAGGAGCCTTGTTCTATGAATGCCTTGCTGGCCACTATAGTTTGGAGGTGGTATCAGAGGCACCCTACAGACCCTAACCCCTAAACCCTAAACCCTAAACCCAAGCACAGGATGACATGAGCCATAGTCTAAACTACTACTTAGTATCCCCCTTAATAAGCCCCATAAAAATCCCCTAAGTAACCTCTTTTAAGGAGTTTAGACTATAGTTCACATAGGGCTCCTGCGGCCCTAAACCCTAAAGCCCAAACCCGGCAGAGGCCTGCTGGAACCTGCCGGGCTCCCTGTGGACACACTGGCGCTTTGCCTGGGTTGCTGTCAAAGAACTTAAATTAAGTTACCACATTGGGGAAACCATATTAAGTACTACATATACCCATTATGGTAACTTAATTTAAGTTCCTTAACAGCAACACAGTTGCTGCCCATGCAGATGAAGCCTTCATCCATGACTGGGGTCGCTTTTACACGGCCGGTCTGAGCCCACTGTGCCAACTCCTTGGCTCAAAAGGTCACTACTAGGATTATATGGAGGCTTCTTAAATTTGGAGTACCTTTTTGGGGTCCCCATAATAAGGATTATAATATTCTGGGGTCTATATTGGGATACCCTCTATTCGGGGAAACTACCATATAGGGATTATATAAGTAACTATACCATAATCCCATAATCGTAGAGTCATGCAGGATATTTAGTATCCACCGTAGCAGTGGGTAGGTTCCTTGACCACAAGGTGCTCTGCTGCATGGACGGGCGTCCGGTGGCGAGCTACTGCTTTTGGCAGATTGCGCTTCTGCTTTCGGCGCATCGCTCCAGCATATTCGGCCACAGGCCTGCAGTCCAAAGGCGATGGCACAAGTGAAGCATGGTGACACCTGTAACAAGAGGATAGTTCGGAAAGTTAGGTCCCATTCTGGTACCCCCAAAAATATATGAGCTACTATCTAAACTCCTAGTATCCCCCTTAATAAGCCCTAAAATACTCCCCTATATAATCCCCTATATATCCCCCCGTTAAGGAGTTTAGACTATGGCTCATATGATCTGTAAAATAACCTGTAACCAAAAGGGCCCATAATTTTGAGAAGAGTCCAAGAGCTTAGTGACATCTGCTGTGTCAGTGTATCTAAGGACTTTAGGAGGGACCCCTAATAGGGACCCTTGTAGCTTATGGGGGCTAATATGAGGACTACCTAGGGATAT